TTGTACAGTAGGTGGCGGTATGCACATTTTAATCTGTTTGCAATCCACCAATAAATGAAAGAAAGAAGAAGACAGTCATGTCATGTTCCTAGATTCTTGTATATGCCTTCTGCTGCAATGCCAGCCTTTTGTTTTTGTTGAATTAAGAATTTAGACCRGCTATCTATTATGTGCAAAGCAGACTACGGCTACCCTGCTGGAGAGTTGGTACAGGGTTCTGCTAAGGTGAGCCTCATTGTAACTTCATGTTGCTGTGGCCCATTGTCCCATCTCATAAAACATTTCTCCAGACACATTTGGGTCTTAGTTTATGGTGTTCTGGCTCAGCTCCCGCTTCACCACGACAGACCRGTACAGCRCCCGCATCACTGCAGATGCAGCACCAATCCRCCTGTCAAACCCCCGCTCCATTCTTCCCTTATTCGTGAAACAGACCCCAAGATACTTAAACTCCTCCACTTGGGGCAGGACCTCCTCCCTGACCCAAAGAAGGCACCCTACCGGTTTCCGGCTCAAGACCATGGTCTCAGGTTTGGAGGCACTGATCCTCATCCCAGAATTAGCTTTTTATGCAGATTAAATTGGCCAYAAGTAAACTGTAGAACTGTTGGCAGAGAACTGTGCATGCCTTTCTTTTTGTTGTTGTCGTTGTTGTTGTCATTGTTGTTGTTGTTTGAGAAATGGAACGAGGAAAAGTGCAAGTTATTACATTTTTTCTTTTTAGTTTTGTCTCTAGTGAACAACAAACATCTACAAAATTAAACTCACTGTTATTTTGTCCTGGTGGCATCCAATTTTCCCAGGGTACAACTGCATCTCCTGCTATGTGTGCAACTTGTTGAATGCTGAGACAAGTTTAGGCTGTTTCTCTGATTGCCTAAAAAAGAATCAATATGCCTGTTTGGGGCTGGATAAGGAAGAGTGATTGTGAAAGAGTGATGATGAAAGCACTGCCGAGGTGTGAGAGCAGCAGACACGTGACTCCACATCTTCCAAACGCAAACACGGGTCTGCCCTCGAACAGATTATGCATTTACAAGCTCCACATTACAACAAAAATCTGACGAGGACAACATGATTTGAACGATCTCACCATAAAATTTCAACCAGCATGACGATTGCCGAGCGCCGAGTCGTCGCAGTATTTCTGAAAGCCTTCTGAATGATATCAGAATGTGCACTCATTGCATTGATTTGGCCTATGATGCATGCTTTACGGAAATAAATGGTGTATCTTTGAACCAAAATCACGTCAGAAGAGTCTATTGAAACTGAGCTTATTTTAGTTRTCTTTTCCTGAGGTGATGTAAACAAATGTGCTATTTGTGTGCTCCTTCACAGCATTTTTTTTCCTGTACACCTACACTGACACCAAGCTGATTACAAATGTGCTGTTTTATTAAACCAGAACTCCAGCCAAACACATTACTTGCTCATAATAATTATAAATGGCTTCCATTTTTAACAGCTTCCCCCTTAACTTTATGCTGCTTCATATTTCGATGAACAGCAGTCAAAGCCTTCCTGGCCCAGTAAAAGAACGCTGTTTGTCAGGCGAAAAAAGGAGAACAAACAAAACTGAGTGCAACATCTGTGCCTGGATTCTGCCTCTGATATTACTGTGTCAGAACAGTTACAAATAAAACACTGCAGTGAGTTATACTTCCGCTTCATTCTCTATGTGCTATGTAACGTTTGTGGAGATGGGATCAAAAAGAATAATGCATGGCCAGGAGTTATCTTGTGGTCATAAGATACTTAATGCATGGCCACAAGATAATAATGCATGGCTATGCATTACATTGTTTTAAATTCAGTGTCACCAGATGGGCTCTGTAGGTAATAACTACATATGAAAAAAAAAAAAAAAAAAAACGATGGAAGTCTGAATTTTGTGGGATTAAAAAAATATGACGTTTTTATTTGTTTTCCTGCCATGGTCACATTTAGAGACTAAGACATGCATGTTTACCTTATAAATAAATGTAAGTTGATTCAGTTGTGGGCTTGAAAAAGGAAGTAAACCTGCTTAATTTCTAGTTTTATAGCTCTTTTTGTGGGTATTCTGACACCTACAGACTTCTGAGGTGGTGAGACGTTTGTCATTACGCTGGAAGTGCAAACAGGCTGTTGCAGGCAAAAAGCAAAATACTGAGTGTTAACAAAGTGAATAATTGCTTTATTTTTAGTGCTAGCATGAGACTGTCAACTAAAAAGCAAGTTTTCAAAAACAGCTGAGAAAGTAATGCTTTTGATGTAAAAGAGCTTAAAAAACAGCTGAAATTGAAGCTGTATAGAATTTACAAATTTATCATCTTAAGTATGAAAAAAGTCAGAAATCAGAAGTACCCTCCACGGTTGTAAATGTAGTGTATTATCAGATTCAGTAACTAGTCAACAGTAAACCACTGTTTTTGTTGTCACACAATCAACACATCCTAAATTTCTGACAGTCCAAGTAAAAACTGTTCAGCCACATTTTAAATCCTCCAAAATAACAGGAAACATTTCACAGCAGCTTAAACATTCTAATTATGTCACAGATTTTGGTACTGCTGTCATATTCTGGCAGTGTTTTCACACAGGGTTCAAACTTTGGAGAAACAAAAATATCTCCAATRAGACACGTGAGCAGTCCATCCATCCATCCATTTTCTTCCGCCTATCCGGGGTCGGGTCGCGGGGGCAGCAGCTTTAGAGTGGAGGCCCAGACCTCTCTTTCCCCAACCACTTCTTCCAGCTCCTCCCAGGGAACTCCAAGGCGTTCCCAGGCCAGCCGAGAGACATAGTCCCTCCAGCGTGTCCTGGGTCTTCCTCGGGGCCTCCTCCTGGTGGGACGTGCCCGGAATACCTCACCAGGGAGGCGTCCAGGAGGCATCCTTACCAGATGAGCAGCGGCTCTACTCTGAGTCCCTCCCGGATGACCGAGCTTCTCACCCTATCTCTAAGGGAGAGCCCAGCCAC